CTATAGTTCATTATTTTGCAATAGATAGACTCGAACTATCATAATAAAAGCATGAATCTTATATGTTACCAATTACATTATATTGCGTATATTATATTTTTTATCTTTATATATTTATTAATATATATCTCCTTTATATATATATTTATATTTTATTAGCTCTTTATTAATCTATTATTATATATTTTATTTAAATGAATATATATAATAATTTTGGTATTGATCATATCATATTTACTATTCCATTAGGATATAATCCATATCATATAGTTGGGATAATTAATGATATTAATAATACACTTTCTCTAAATGTACAATCATGTGTTAATGATATATATGGTGTTTTTATACCACCAGTTAATCTATTAGTTACTTTTAACATATATGATGCTGATAATAATACTGATATTAATGCTAATGCACCTAATACAGGTACACGATTTAATGCTCCAGCTAATGATAATAATTCACCTATAAAGTTAACTGATAATGGTGTTCCTATATTACAGAAACTTAATATAATTAAATATATTGCTAATATAGGCATATATGTTAATAAACCTTGATAATAATATATTAATCTATTATGATATCTATCATATAATATACCTCCTACTATAATAAATAATGCTGGTGATACAAAACCATGAGCTATTGATAATATTAAACTACCACTAATACCTATTATATTATTTGACATTATACCTAATATACATACTGCCATATGTGATATTGAACTATATGCTACTATTACTTTAAGATCTGTTTGTCTTAATGTTATTATTGATGTATATATTATTGTTATTACACATACCATATATACTACTGGTGTATATAATGTTGATGCATCTGATAATGTTGGTAATATTAAACGTATTATAGCATATACTGCTAATTTTAATATTACTCCTGCTAATAACATTGATCCAGCTAAAGGACTTTCAGAATGAACTACTGGTAATCATGTATGTACTGGTACTAATGGTGTTTTTACCATAATACCTATTGATATTCCTAAGAATAATATACATTGTAAATCTAATGATAATACTAATAAACTTACTGCTTGATAATCAGTATTCCCTATTAATACTTCATAAACTGCTATAGCTATTAACATAAATAATGATGATAATAATGTATATATTAATATATAATCTGCTGCTTTCTCTCTATTATTAGCCCCATATAACCCTATTAATATAAATAATGGTGCTAATGAAGCTTCAAAATAAATATAGAATGATAACATATCTTGACACATAAAATTTATTAATAATATTATACCTAAATTAAATACTAATTCATAATATAATGTTGATTTTATACTATTTCAATTAGCTATAATTGATAATGGTAATAAATAAGCTGTTAGTAATATAAATATATCTGCTATACCATCTGTAGTATAATATATATCTAATTCATTTCAATCATAAAGAGTTGGAATTACTATTAATATACTAGCTATTAATATAATAGATTTATTTATACCTTTAAATGTTCTACTTATTACTGATGTTGTAGAAGAAATTATAAAGTAAATTAAAGTCATATTTTTTATATTTAGCCTCCTATTTGGAGGTATTTGTATATAAGTCTGAGTGTATGATCAAAGGGACTTGAACCCTTAATAAATTAGACCTAAACTAATCGCGTATACCTATTCCGCCATAATCATATTTATATATATATATTATACCCCTTTTTATATTTAATTATTTTTATTAATATTCTTATATAAGAATATATTCTTTTAAAGTATTTTATTATATTTTATTATATATATATATACGGATGCAACGTGATTCGAACACGTGGGTTTACACCTTGATAGCTCAAATATCACACCTTAAACCGCTCAGTCATACATCCTTTAACATATAAATTATTTTTAATATAAATATAATTTATATTTTATATACTCTCCTATATAAGGTTTAATAGGTTTAATATTAATAATATATATTATATATATAATATCTTATTAATGTTATGGATCATATATTAATATATATAATATCCATCTTTGAAAAATATGGGAATCATATATTTACATATCTAATTATATTAATTTAATATATAAATAAATATATATATAAGAATAAT